TGAGGGACAAGCTAGCATGCGCATGTGTCAGTTTTTTGCTGTTATTATTTCCATATGCTCTCACTTAAAACGCTCGGCTAATCCTCGGTCACACGCCAGCAGCTCGCCCGGGATTATCTGTGTTTGTTTTCTCACACGGAGGAGAGATTGCGCTAATCTGCTCGGAGGGGATAGACAGAGTGACAGAGCTGAAGAAAAGAGTGGAAAAAGAAGGGAACAGGGAAAGAGGGGTGGGTGTCTTCTTGACTATAGCCTGGACCAGAAGACGTGGACATCTGGAGACAGGAGGCAGCTGAGATAGAACAAAGTGAAAGGGAGATTTAGATGTGTCTTTGTTTTTCCGATGTGCTGTGGCGCTGGTTGGCACAGTGTCTTTGGCTGTGCTTGTAATCAGTGAAATGTGATGTGATCTTGATTTAGAAAGCACTGGTCGCAAGATGTATCAAACCTCTTCATTTATCCAAGCTTGGCACTATCTTAAAAAGAATATTTGAGGCCATCTGTCGCTGGATTATAACTATTTCTATATTACTTTGTTACTGCTATTAGCAGCTACTAGGCCACTGGGTTACTATGCTATCCAGTTCAGCAATATGGCAAGTTTTATGGTGCAAGCATATGCTGTGAGTATGTGTCTTCACCAAGAGCACAATAACAATTTGCAATTTCAAAGATCTGAATGGGAATTGAACCCCCATTCATCCAGTTATTGAACACCCTGCTTAAAGAGACTGTACCCAATCCATGTAGTTGAGTATTTGTTTTTCCTCAGTACAGGCATAATGTTAAGTTAAGACCACTGTATGCTGTTTTTATTTTATTGACTGCGAAACCAAGAAGTATTGCTGGTATGCAGTTAGCAGGCAAGTTGTTGCAAACACTTAAAAATTATTTATTCTGTTTTTCACATTTTAAAACAGTAAAACTGTACAGAACGTTTAACACTTTTTAAGATACTTTACAGTTATAATCACCAATTTTATGTTGAGAATTACAATTTGTCCAAAATGTTCTTGCCATATGAGCGGCTTCTTTTCACTTGTCCAAAGTGAAAACACTACATTCCACAAAACCCAGTTGCTCCATGTACAGTTTTGGAGGCCCTCAGGACTTTCCTCTATTCATGCAGGTTTATTGCATGCTACACCTTCTGAGCGACTGCAAGCATTACCCAGAAGGCTTTGTGTTTTCTGCTACGACTCACAAACACACTCCTTCTCCCTCGCTTGGAGCTGTGTATTATGTATCACCAGTCTAGCGTGCAGGTTAGCCAATTAATTTCTGCTAACTGTGCAGTGAATTTAAAAGGGAGTAGTACACAGCGAATTAGAGTTTGAAAAAGTAGTGGGCGCAGGACAGCAGAAGGTGGCACTTGTGGAGCGTGTGGGTTTGTGGATGCGTAAAGAAAAGGCCAGAATGAGCGATCTGCTGCTTTAGCTTGGACTCACTATCAGTTCTCATTAGTAATTTGTTTGATTACTTAATGAGTAGCTTAATTTGTAGGGTGTCAGAAGATTACAAATCACAAATCAATGTGATTGGCTGGAAAATTATATGCCATTATTATAACCCATTCAAAGGGATCAGCTAAAAGAATTGCAGGCTGTCCTAATGAATAAATCGCCTCGCCATTTTAAATCCTTAACAATTAGCATAATAACAAGGGCGACACCATATTTTACAACATGTTTTTCTTCATTTTCCTGAATATATTGCATTAATACATTATGTTTTGCTGACCTTTGACGAAGTAACCCACAAGAGAGGCACTTTTTAAGTAGCAAAACTAAGTAATGGAATATTGATTGATATGCCTTGCAAAATGCATATGTTTTCATTCTATGTTTCATAGTTACACTGTGGTGGAGGAGGAGATATATGATGTACTTCACCTGCTTGTTGCCAATGACCCAAATAAAATATAGAAAATGAATTGCTATTTGCTATAAACATTGATTTTGTGTCAACAGCACTTGTATATTTGACATGGCAGTAAAACATGGAAAAACATTACATTACTGTGAAAATGGCAGATATGTGACAGAGAGGGGAGTGTTTATGCTTGCCATAGGCTGCAGTTACAGATGTCTGTGGTGGTGGCTGGTCCTGAGTGATGGACTGTGGGGAGGGGGAGTGTGGCTGTGAGGGGCTCTTGTGTGTTGGAGGGGCTACAGTGATGAGTGTCTGTTCCCAGTGGAGGTGGCAGTTCTCCTCCTCAGATACATCCTCTCTCTGTCTGTAATGGGCACTATGTTTGAACTCACCTCATCCATACTCCACACCCCCCACATGGCTCCACCTCCCCATGCTCGTACTCTGCTTATTTATTTCTCTGCAGAAATATTCTCCCAAATGGAAGCATCCTTGTGTATCTCAATTCACCTTTTCTTGGCATGATTCTTAATCAATCTTCAGCTATTCTAAAAGTGCTGATTTTCCGTAAAGCAGTTTACTGCTGCAAGGGAAGGAGATAGAGAAAAGAGAGATCAGAAAAAGGCAGAAAACCCGAGCAAGAGGATATCAATATTCCCACTGCTGCTGGGATCCTCGGAATGATTTTCCCCTGTTTGAATCTGACAGCAGATTCTCGCTGTAGCCAGGAATCCTATTTATCCCCACTTTAACATGCTTCTCTCTGCCAGTCATGCTCACTTTAAGGGCACACTGAACATCTAAAGACGCAGACTCAAAAGAAGCACTTGTAATTGTGCTCCCAGCACAAAAGCAGATCCAAACTACACACAAACAGGTTGCTTTTCCAAAATCAAATCAGCTGTGGTTTATGTAGCTCATGCCTCAGTGAGTGAGGAAGTGTAAATATGTTTGAGCATTCGCCCTCTGCTCACTTACATGTTGGCAGAGCACTCAGAGGCTGAAGGGAGGAGACTGTAGAGGACTCAGACAAATAGACTTCATAACACCAAAGTTATGCACAATCACCTGGGCCCCAGCCCCATGCAAAATGAAATCTGCCCACCTTCTTTCAAGCACATGCACAGAGGAGTTTTAATGTGGCTCTAAGCAGGCTATCTCCATGGTGACAGCAGGGTCTCCATGGTGATAGAGACAGTTTTAAATGAAGCCTTTCCATGATAAATGGCACCTCACTTTTGTTTTCAATATTGTAGATGGCAAAAATACAATTATGCAAATAGTGTGTTGGCATTAGGACGCATGGCCCACTACTCCATTCTCAACTTGAGTAGGAACAAATAAGTCCTCCTTCTTCAAGAAACCCTAAAATACTTCTCCTGACACACACGTGTAACAAAACACCTCCACAGTGGAGGTGCCAACAGCGCAGTTCCAAAGCCTGATGGTGTTCAGTGTGAGCACACACACGTGCGCTAGACTGCACCGCTCCGGATCCTGGATCCTCTCTAAGCTGCATCAGCTGGATACCAATGAGCCGCCCTGACTCTCACAGGCCACACTCTTATGTCAGAGAACCACTCACTAGAAACTGGCTTTAGAAATTCTCAAAATGTGACAGTTATAAGCAAAAAGAAAAAGCTAGCATTTGGAAAAGGGTTTGAGTTGAGAAGGCATCACGACTGGCTGTCAAAATGTAGTTCCAGTGTACTGTATCTATCTAGTAGCTAGTGCCAGCGGTAGAATGTTTATCAGAATTTTATTGAATTTGAATCTATGTATTTGTACCCACTTTTTGCATGAAACTGCAAAATTTGAGATTATGTTTGTGTTAATTTGTATTCTTTGTGTGATTTTTCCTCAGCAGTGACTGCTGTATTTTCATGTCTTGTTCTATAGAGTGCTATATTAACACAATGCACCACATTTTACACAGTGTGCACCAAAGCAACACTAGCTCACTCAGCAGCAATCCTGTATACAACTGCGGCCGTGTATCCCTGTCTTTTAACATGTTGTCAGAAACTTCAAGTGTCTGCTGCTGTGTCAAAGCAACACTCAAACAATCCAACAGTCCTTTCAAGCCGCGAGCATCAGAATCTCTTTGACTATGCAGCTACATCAACACCTCATGAATGTCTTATCCGCACTTCACACAAACCCCTCTCCATACCGTCATTCCTCCTATGCACCCAATCCCTCAGAGTCCCGCTATGTAAGGGACCTGCGCTGTATAACTGCTCATTTTGGGTGTTACCACTTCACAACTGTGGAATTATTTTTATTGGAGTCATTCATAATTTAGCATTTGTCTTTGATATATAATCTAGTAGTCATTAGTATGGGAGTGGGTCCAAGCACAAAACGTCATTACATCTCAGTGAAAGTTGCACATTTGCATAAATTCCTGCTTCTCTTACTGCTTCCAAGCCTCTGACTGCACATTATTTTTATATATCCTTCAATGCATGTGTCATTGTAACCAAATGTCAATCAGTAAAATGACATTTGTTATATATAAATAAATGAATGGAATGAAATGGCTTCCCATGCTGTTTTACTGACATGTTTAATGTAAAGTAAATAAGGATTTATGGCTTTTTCAGCAACATTGGAGCCCTCTCTGTGTATTGCTTATTCTCGTTCAGTACCTCTCTCTGCAGTACAGGTGTAATAGTACCAATACCAGAATCAAAATCAGTTTTGTTGTAATATTAAAGACAAACTATGATACATTAAAAAGTTACAATACTGATTGAAATACTAACAGAATAATAAATATTGCAGTTTTTAAAGTTTTAATCAGTATGCAGGTCCAAATGGGGAAAGAAACCAACCAACAACCCCCAAAAATGAAATAATAGTAATCTTTACCATAAAACTCTCATAGACATAATATTTAGTTAACAGAGTGTAAATTAGATGTGGCTCCATGTGTATCGAATAATGCAAAAAATGAGAGTACACAATGAGTACACATTGATTATTTATTTATTTATTGTTTAGTACAGTTGTTAGAGTTCAGTATGATCATAGTTTTGTTGGATCCTATGTATGTCTGTATAATCATGTACAGTCATATTCAAAGTTGTCTAGTATTTCCAGATTCTCTCTCTTTCCATCCCCAGCCTGTGGACTATGAGAGCCGGAGCTCCTACTCTTTCTCGGTGGAGGTGATGAACCCGATTGTGGATCCCCGGTTTCTTCGTCTGGGTGCCTTTAAGGACCGGGCCACAGTGCGTGTGGCAGTGCTGGATGCAGACGAGCCCCCCAAGTTCTCCAGGTCCAGATATCTGATGGATGTGTCTGAGAACTGCCCCCCAGCGTGCACAGTGGGCAGAGTGAGCGCCATCGACCCTGACACGGGACTGACCAACAACATCAGGTACAAATCATCACTATCTGTTTTAGGAATGGGATAAGACACAGTGAGAGAGTTTCACATAATTTATCATAAATATATTGTGCAGTTCAGTTTACACTTTTGACCTCACTCGTTTGTATTTATTTTCTTTAAGAAGTACATACTGTACATTTTCAGGTATTTAGTATTGAACTATATACATAGATTGTTATTTTACATTTTGTTTAGTGTAAACTGCATTATTGATCTAAAACAGCTTATTCAAAAACAGGTCATTCAGTAGTTTATGAGGGAAGACTGTTATAACATGATTAACAGCTTATAAAAGTCAATTTTACATAATATGCCTCCTTTAATATTTTTGCACTCATTGTAGCACTGCTTTTTGGAAGTACAACTTCTCAAGGTGTAAACTCACCTTTTGTTCACACCAAACGTAACTACATCATGGGGGAACAAATCTCAAGATTATTCTACATCTGTGTGCACAATCTGTGGCAATTTTATTTTGTGCGATATTGTTGGCACGAGATCTTGGCCCATCTCTACTCTGTTTTATATTCAGTGTGGGGAAAGTTGAGATGGGAACATTGGGGACAAGAGGCAAATCCAACGTTGAGCTCTCTTGGGGAGTGACAAAGATTTGTTTTGAAATGAGTACATCAAAGATACAGCATGTTTTTAGAGGTAAAGTCAGAGAGGCCAAGTGGAGATGGTCTGGGCTTGGACTGAGTAGGAAGAATGCTAAGTTGAAAATAGCAGGTAGTAAGACGCTAAAATATTCCACTTGTGTAGATGATACTGTTGAGTTCAGGCTTGAATATGCTGATATTTGATTATATCATATGTATTGATACTTCGATCAACTTAAACGGAAGTTAGGTATCTTTCTTTTCAAAACTTGTTTCACATAGATTATAAGTTAGAAGTATTTTGGTGAGTATATATCCTCATTTTACAAACAATCTTTTGCAATTTTCTGTCATGGAATCCATGCCAATAATATATTTTCTAGTCATAGTTCTCATTTTTTCTCGTATACCTTTTTTTAATCGTTATTTGTTCGAAAGATAGGTCATGCTTTTCCCTGATTGGCTGATCCATCCTGTCAATCGCGCGCAACAACAACTAGCACAGCTGCTTTACGTCGAATTCGCGAGCAAGAACTCGACTAGACTCTCATAATATGCTTTACTATGTAAATAGTATTGGAGAAGTGTGTATTCCTGGATCCAGGCAACTGCAATATTGTACACCATCAGTGATATCAACTATATAACATTACACATCAAATACACTTATTTTGAGTGTCAGAAGACTAGCCTATAACGCTATATGTGCTCTATTAGATTTCTAGATATCTAGCTCAACATACTTACATATATACAATAGTGTTTATTCTTTTTTTCACCAACCACAATACTCCACATTGTGAAGCATGTATATCACGGAACAAAGTCATCGCACATAGAGCGCACTAGTAAGATTTCGAAAGAGACAGAGCGACCTAGGACTAGTACTCTAGTTAGTGCTGACCATGAACGAGAAAGATCGGCTACTGACTTACTCCCTATAGTGTAGCATCCCAGATCTTCTTCTGTCACTACATGAGTCTGTGGTTATAGAAATAGTTTTGTGAGACGCGTGTGTTGCTCGTACTCTAGCTCTCGCGATAGTGACCTGTCTTGAGAGATAATCTCACTACTATATGCACATAGTTTGTATCTATTATACCGGTGAAAGCCACGATTGCATAACTGTATGCAATCTGTGCAAGATGGTAGAAACACTGTGTAGTTGAGCCTTTTAGCCTGTTTTTGCAGCAGATAAACTATTACACCAATTGGTGACTATCAATATGATCTCATTGTTCCGCAGTTATGACCTTTTCTCCTCCTTACTGACACTAATTCCGGTTTCTATATTATGAAAGTCAAAAACAACACCCTTATAAGCAGCTAATTATTCAGCACTATATTGAACCTCGATTATTGTTAAAATGCACGGCTGCCGCACATATGTATATAACTGTGGCATTAAGTCTGTACTTGATTTTTGAAAATGGTCTAATACTACAGTCACTTTTGAACAAAGCTATGATAGTTGATAGTTCCTACGGTCTTAATAGGCCGCTTATGCGCTCGAGTAACTCACAGGAAGTAGTTAATGTCACCATATGTAATGAGTTGTCAGATCTTTGTATAATGAGAGAACTGTAGCACGTGCGCTACTACTTGGCACAGCGTTCTCTGAGATATCTTAATTTCACTCAGCGCTTACATATTAACATAGACGTTAAGCATAATCCAATTAACACTGTCTAGAGACCTGCTAAGATGAGTGGCTGGGGTGTTTGTGAAATCTCTACCATTATCGCCATTAGGTCGGCTGGTAATCGATTATATAGGTGATGATACGCTCACGCAACTAATCAAACTCGAGGACTCTTAGAAGTACGAATAGCTGCTTATACCTCACTCTTGTCGCATGATATTTCAGTAGAAAATATAAAAACTCACTTCTCTATGTGATCCTCCTTATTGAAATTAAGTTCCTCTAGAACTTCGCTATCGTCTGCTTGAGGCATCAAACATCTTTGCCTCTTGGCTTCTTCCACTCGCGACTGCCCAGACTTGCTCGCTATAACCTATCTTCTCAGTCTGTGTCTTCTGTATAAAGTTTATAGTTGTCCACCATTTTTCTTATGCTCTTTATATAATTTCAATATCTTTCTTCACCATGGCGTAATCTTATATATGGTGCTGCGCTCATTGATCCTCATCGGAACTCTGAGGCAGTATTGACATACCGTAATGCATCAATGCCGGCACAAGGGCGGCCTGATCACGCTACCGGCAGTAGAACTGGATCGGGAACGCGAGCCTTGGCACAACATCAACTGTCATCCTCATGAGCCAAGCCGCACACAGGCAGAGGAGTACCCAAACGATGAGGCTCACGAGGTTAAGACAAAGTAAAACATTGGGATTGACTTTATTTTTATTGGACGAATTAATTTACTATATTGATTTACCGCCTTTGTCACGTCTCCTCAAAACCTTGGCTCGTATGACGCTTAGTGTCTATTAAGAGCAAACGGATTTTATAATAGGCTAGTATGTTGTGGTGCGTTTGTAAAAAGGCTGTGAGCGGCTTAAGCAGTGGAGTCAGTGGGCCATGAGACTTGCACGGCTGTGTGTCTATGGCTTGTATACAAGAAGGTTTCGTTCGGTAGTGTATTCGGTAGCTCTTTTGTAGCCTTATTAACTCAGGTCGGAGTAATTTGCATAGTTGTGGATAAAGAAATGTTTCTTCTCTCACCAAGGAATAGTAGTCGAAGCGAAAATCAAAGTGATATGTTTCTCGAGTCATTGCTCGACATTCAACTGACAGGCATCAGTTGATTATATATTCCCATCATAAGCTCATACTAGCTGACCACTAGATAATCCAGAGTGTAGACTTACGACATAGAGACAGAATGTTCTGCAATATATCTGTGATACTATTTATAAATATCCACTCAGTACTCGATATTATAAGGTTCAAAGATATTGACTAACTTTATGGGAAGAGTTCAGTAGAGGAAAACGTGTTAAAACAGTGACTCTGGACTCTATCGAGCATAAAACAACGCACGTTGAATCATAATGAAAATAATATACATAGTCACTATTCACCAATAGTAACATTGTGATCGCAGATAAAACTGTCGAAGTGCATAAAATTCGAGACTCAATATGTTGCTAATTTCAAGTGCTGCACTTCCACGGACAAGTCAAAAAGTCTTATTAACTCTAATTAACATAAACCACGACAACACAGACAAGAATAAGAATTGTTTCTCATGCTTTTTACGTTGTCATTTGATGTGTGTCATTGACTCTCACAGTATAGAGATATATTATATTAGTTTTGTCTGTAACTGTAAGCTTATAGTTGTGAGCCACAGTCCTAGTTGTGTTGACAAGTTTATGATGGAGCCTTTCTTCCAAACTGAATCGTATGTATATTCTATCAATATTTTGGTGAGGAGGAATCTGTACATGTGGGTGATGTATACCACTCTTTATGAATATGCTGCTAACACATTTGTTGTACTGCCGCGATACACCTTGTCATACTTCAGAAAGTAGCTTGGAATATAATATGGATAACTCGCATTTGCATGATGAGCAATTCTAAGACAGACGTAAAAGGACTCACCTTGCAGTTTGTGGTACTATGGTTCTCAGTTCGCTCCTCTTAGGTTTTTATACGTTTTTATTTGAGAGTGTGCACTAGAGATTGAGTTACAAGTGAGTATTCACCTATTTTTTTTATCGCAGAGTAGTAGTTAAATAAGGTGGAATTAAATAATATTGCAGCTTCAACTAGGATTTAAAGCATCTTCATTAATATAACCACAAGTACATCTTTGTCTAAGATACTCACTGAACGATACTTGTTATGTAGCTGCTATATATAATGTTATACTTAAGTAAAAGATTGTGATTTCATAGTATAGATTCATGATACTTGTGAGCACTTTAATTTTAGTATTGTCCTTGAAAAGATGAGGTGTGCTATCTTGATATGCCATTCTTATAATAATTACACTTAAGTTACACCTTACAATATTCTGTAGTTAGTGTCAGAGATAATTGTAAAACTTCTCCTTTTTAGAGCACTCGTAAAAAAGAACAACGCACTCTCTCAGACGCCTTGCTCAAACACATTATTGATGTTGGCTTATAGAATACCACTCTTCCTCATACGTCAGTTTCTATTTTTATATATTCAAAGACTCAAAGCATCGAACCATATACCAATAAATATATTGCTAGTCTAAGGATCCTATGTAAAGATACCAACGTAGAGTCAATTGATTCTTATCTGTTGAATCAAAATGATACATGAACATCAATCTTTTATGCACTGAGTCAGTCTAGAGACCAATACATAGAGGCATCGCCCTTACTGAGCAACTGCTGCTAATTTTGACCATATTAAGTACCACATTTGAAGCCTCTGATCTTACT